ACCTACGGAAGTCGCTGCTTTGGCCGATAAGGTAATATATACTTTTGATCAAACTGATTTCAGTGTTGTCTTTTGGATTTTTGGAATTGCATGTTAAATATATTTTAGGCTAGTCAGAGTCGTGATCCATGCATGGTTGAAGCTGCCGCAAAACTTGCACTGAGCGTATTACCGAAGGCATATGCTTTAACAGCTGCAGAAAGTCAAAAAGCTTTGCATCAGTGTAAGGAGCAAAGCTCTGAAATGCTTGAAAAAGCATGTCGTGCTGTTGAACAGGTTTTGTTTACTCATGTTTTAAAGGTTGTCTGGGGTGTTTTTGTTTTGTTTCACATTAAATTAAAAGTCCTATCAAGATATCGCTTGGACTATTTCCTTAAGAGACAATAGTAGAGACTTGGTTTAATTTCTGTTTTAAAAAACCGGATGTTGGCTGAGACATACTTCTGAAGATGAAAATGTAGTATATATAAAGTTTTTGTTTGCTGGAATTGTTTTTTCAGGCAGCCGAAAAAGATGGCGTATACCCGGAAGTGTTGTTCAAAGTTGCCAGGCACTGGTTCGACTTGTTTATAGATTCTGAATCTGTTAGTAGCCCACAAACAAGTTTTCAGAATGCGATTCCACAACAACATCCAACTGGGATTTCTCAGTTACACAACGACGTTCTGCAGTCACAGGCCCATGAAGTAAGCGCTGTTCTTTTTTCATATATACTATTGAACTGTGGAGACAACAGCTGTAAGTAGTCGTAAAAGAAAAAAAGAATTTTCCAGAGTCATCTTTTTTTGCTAAAATGTTATGTTGCAGTAAGACATTGAAATAATTACATGAAGATATTTGTACTATTCGGCCAAATTGTGTAGATTATTCCACTCTTGAAACGCACCAATTCAATCCCATTGCGTAGAATGTTGGGATTTCTTTTTTTTTCCACATCTTTTCGTAATAGGCACGGTGCTATTACGTAATAGACATTTTTCATGTTTGCAATAATTTTTTTCAGACCATTTATTCTGCGACAAATCCACCAACGCTACAACTTCCTGTTCAGTGCAGACCTGTTCCTTATCCAGCAGCTTCGTATCATTTCATGCCACCACCCCATCATCACCTTCATCAGGCAGGACCACATTGCCCTCCACTCTATGTATCTCCGGTATCATGTACTCAACCGCAAGTTGGAATTCACTATTCCCAGCGGTAAGCACACAGTGTAGACCCATCTAGAAATTATTCCTATTTTAGTTTACTATCAATAAAGCAGTATATATATACTCACTCAATTCTTAGTTTTGTTTGGTTTTCTTTCTGTTTTGTTATATCGCGTAGTTTTGTTTATTTGTATAAGTTTGTTTGGAAGAAACTGTTGTGTTCATTTAATTACAATTGCAAAAAATGATAAGCAATATTTGGCTGTAGACATTTGACATCGATTGATTTTTTCTTAATTCTTTTTATTTCAGAGGGCCATTACCAGTTGGTGCGATGTCAATAGTGCCGAGACAACAACCAAGTACTATTTATCCTCCGCCTGTGGTTGGTGTTACACCATCACGAGCCCTACACATTAGTCATTCGGCTCCAAATTTAAGCCCTATGCAAGCTGTTCAAATGTCCAGACGCAACCAACCTTTGACTGTTTTGCAACAACCTATTTGTCTTGGTGCAGGAATGACCCGCTGTCAGTTTCCTACCGTAGGGGAACAGTGCATTCAAGTACTTAAAATTTTCTTGAACTAATTTTAGTTTATCTCTTCTTTGGTTTAGATTTATTGAACCATCAAATTGGATCTATAGATGAATTTGAAATAACAAAAACAAGAGCACTGTATTTCGATGTTAGGGAAAAATATGTTAATTTTACTTGATTATTATAGCAATTTCAGCCTATTCCAATAAATGATGCTCTGCGGCATCTACCTCCTCCTACATCGCTTGTACTTTGTCAGTCGACCTCGCAACCAGTCACATATTTTGGACAGCCAGCTCCTCAGGTTTGTGTTTTGGTTACCAGTAGAATTTGTTAAATGGAACTGAACATGTGCGTTGGGAATTCTAAGCGAAACCTGTTGTGTAAACAAACATTTTATTTATTAATGCCAACGAGCAGCAATATGTAAAATTATTCAGTTCAGTTGCAGCAAATTTAGCTCTGAAAATTTCCAGCCTCCAATGAATGTTCCTATTCCATCACCAAGTGCTTCTGTTGTTGGAGATCCTCGTATGGCGAAGCTTGTTCATGCTCATCGTGTGGGAATGATTGCTATGGAAACAATGGGAAGTCGAAACTTGGATGATAATCGTAGCTACGCGAAATTTTCTCAGGTAACATATTCGTAGGAGGGTGTGAGTTGCACTATTGCTTGTTTGTTTTGCTGTCACTGGATTAAAAGCAATATTCATTACCGTTTGATATTTCGAGAATCCTGCTTATGCTGAAGACGTTCGTTGGTTATTCACAGTGGCAACACGATTAGGAGGTGTTTTCACCCAAAGTTTTTGTGAAGTAGCAGCTCGATCTGTTGCATCGCCATTCGTTCTTTTTTCATTAGCTGTTGAATCAGCAAAGGTTAGTGCTTTCATGTAATATACTGTTCTTCTTAACGTCTGAATCGTGGAAACTTGGATATTCTTCCAGAGATTTACGTTGAAAGTTTTCAGGTCTTTCACTGGCAGATGCCCTCTATTAGCTACCATTCGCAAGCTGTAATTCACCCTGTCCGGCCTCAGTTAACCACTGGTGCTCCAAATGTAATATTTAAGAATTAAAGATATTTCAAGAATTTTGAACATTTATATAAAAAGTGAATCCACTTTCTTTTTTACATCATTGGTAGTGCCTAAAATAAATTATTGTAGGTACGGACTATGCTTCTGCAGAATGGATTTGCACCGCCAACAGCCGATTTAATGCAGCATTGCGTTGAGATGTTTTATGCCGCATCCAGCTCTAAGCTTAGCCATCCTCGTTTTGTTCCCTCAGATGTTGAAGAGGTATGATTATTGGTATTGGTTATTAATTATGGCAGAAATCGATTGGGATTGGGTAATTAATTAAAAAATGTCAAGGTTAGTTTTATAAAAAAGTAGAAGTAAATGGAGTATCTTGGTCTACTTTTTGAGTCATAGTTTGCTGTCATGATAGTTTTTTTGCACCGCTTGTCTTACAGTATTTCTTGTGGCCATTTTGAGATCTTGATGCTTAGTTGTACCAATATACGAAATATTCTATTCAGGTCGTTCAACTCGTTAAAACAGCAAAAGAAGCATTTCATTGGATACCAGGGCCGGGGAAATTAATGTTTGAAGATTTCATGCGACATGTTCGGAAGCAAAAAGCTTGTAAAAAGGATGTTGCTCAAAGAATCAATGCTTGTATTCAAAATACAAACTGATTTGGAAGTCACAAATTAGTATACCTCTTTCACATTACCTGATGTTTCATTTTAAATTATTATTTAAAATTGGTGATTACTGGAGGGAATAGTTTGTGAACTCAAAGCTAATGTTTGCCAATTGACACATAAGTACAGTACGGTTGTGGCACGTTGTTTCCACCATTCAGTCAGCCATTGGAAACAGTCAGCATTCATTTTATATATGTATGGTTATGTGGTTGTAAATGATTTTTTCTGCGTTGTATCATCATTTCTATTCGAAATAATTTTATTTCTTTATGTTCTCATTCAAATTAATTTTATATTGTTATGTTGTAATGCGTGTGGAAGATAAGGAAGTTATCTATCTCTATTGCGATGTTGTTGATGACTGCGGTGCTTTAATTGGTTGACAGAGAGAGTTCACTTTTATCTAGTACGGATTTGTTTATGAAAAAAAGAAAAAAAAATGAATGTATTCTTTAAAGTTGTGGTCTGCTGGTTATAGTATTCACAGTTATAAAAATAACGATTTAAAGGTTTTAACGTAGTGCTACTGAAGTTCAGTATTTTTTTGGAAGTCTTTTTCGTGCTGAAATTGTGGTAAGTAACTGATTTACTGCTGTGCTATTTCGTTCAGGTTTTGTGTTCATCTGCTTTTGTTGATATTTTCAAACATAGCTGAGATGTATCACACGGTAATTATTGAAATGCTTCTGTAATTGTTGAAGGTCAACGCTGGCACATTTCGAAAGAGTCTGTATAATGAAGCTTTGTCTGGAAATACTCGTAATTAAGGTTGTCGACCATTCAAACGTAATATATAGTAATTTTTGATGACATTAGTAAAGAGTTGGGAACCTGTTGTTCGATTAGCGGTAGCTCCAGGCACTCTGCTGTAAAAGTTAGTTTACGACAGAGCGAGAGTTTAATTTAATGAAATAGCCGCATGGTGATGCTGCGTTGAATGCGAAGTGAGGGTACCGAATTATGTCTGCATATCCTTACTTTTGAATTCCATAGCAAGTAAGCGGTATAATTCTGTACTTACCTAAGTTATCACTGCGCGTCGTCCATGCTTCTGTTGTTCAATATTGGAATTGCTTTTGTTTTGACCTTCGGTCACTAGTTTCCATACTGAGTAAAATGGCTAAGAGTGAGATTTTCGCATCAATAATGTGCAGTTGCCGGACAGTGCTGTTTAGAATTGGGATTGGAAATTATTCCTTGATGAAGAGTCGCAGAAAGAGAAGGTTTGAGATTATTTTTGTTTTCATATTCGGCCTGGTGTTGTCCGTATAAATTGTATTTCCACATCTTTCGTGTAATCATGTCTTCAAGAATGCTACTTTATGAAATGAACAAGGTTGAAGATTGGGGATATGTTTCTTCGGCACATCAGTAAGGCCCTGTCATGCGTACATACAGAGCTAATCATATTCTATTCATAGGGATATGTTCTTTCATAATTTTGAGTTTGATTGGTGCAGTATTCATAACCATAACAATTTTCGGCTAATTTTTTTCATATTTATTTTTAGGACGAAAATACTCCCTCCGAGTTGAGTCCGGACCGCGTAGTTTACTGTTGTTAGGTTTAATTGTTGATTGTACAGTTTTTGTATGTGGGGAAGAGCTGCAACATCTCTTTGGCGTTTGAGCAAAAGATTCAAGAATTCTGGAAAGGGAGTTAATAAGAAAAATCACAAAACCGAAGGAAGCACTGAAACCATAAACTACGTGGGAGACAAATCGTCTGAAAGCGCTGTGCTTCGGGTAACTTCTTTGTCTCATTACGAAATAAAAGTTGAGCAAGAACAGCACTGTTTGTTTTTCCATTTGATTTTAAGCACAGCCGGTTATTATGCTAGAATTTTAGGTAAAGACTTGTGTGACTAACTGTTAATTATTAGGTTTTAAAATTCTAGTGTGTTTGTGGAAAGAATTGTGAAAAGTCTCAGAGATTACTTTCCTCAAAGCAGTTAGTGGATTGGTTAAATTTACAATTCTTAACTCTTAATCGGAAGATTTATTCTTTAAGTGTTTTCTGACTTACTTTTAAATGTGATCGATTGATTTTTGTTTTGTTGAGTGTTGAATTTTTGGTTTCATTCCATGTTTTTTCCCTATTTTCATATATTTTGATATTGCTTGTATTGTTGGTGGTTTATCGACTAAGGGAACACTGGAAGCAGGAAGCAATCCGATGTGCAACATATAATGAAGAGTATAAAATTCATGGTTTAACATTGTTTTCTTTCTGTTTATATCTATTACTTTAATACATTTTGCAGTCTCAGACATTCACATCGAGTTTACCGACTGCAACGCATCTTTCATATCTTTCTTCGATTCTTTCTTCGCTGTGGCCTTCTGATGGAACGAGGGAAATAGAAAACGTTGACATAAAGTGGGTTTGCAAATGCATCTTGTAATGTTCATATTTTATCAGTTTATATTTTTAGTGTCGTCTCATCATCTGTTAAAATTAGGACATATAAAATATCTGGAAACAAAATGTTGTTCAAGTTTTCAAACAACTTACTTCATATCAGAATTTTTTATTAACGGAAAGTTAGTTTCGTCATCAAAAATAACTGCCTATGAATAGCTGGGTATCAGTACATTTTTAAGTATTGTCATACTTTGACAACCAAAATATCTTGAAGTGGATTTATGAACTTTACTACCCTGTTCGGAGTATAATCCCACTACCGCCAAGCACTTTGTCGGGGACAGTTATGTATTGTTAGGAACGGAACTTTGAGTAAAAACATGTGGATTGTGGCTGTTTTTAATTTAATTTTTAGTTCCACCCAAAAAAACTGGTGTGTTTTTTTTTTTTTTATTTATTTATTTTTTATTTTTATTTTTTTATTTGGATTCTAACTAATATTAGTGTTCCAGAGCACAACGCAAAAAAGTAGTTAGTATACCGAAGTCGGCACTTCTCGACCAAACACGATCACTTGTGCTTAGCTTACTCTCTGCAGAAGCAGATGGCTCTGTGATGTTGAAAACACGAGAATTATGTAAACATTATATGGAATATCCTGAGGCGCGTGTTGTTGGGTTTCAGGTTTTCATTAAGAAGTTATTTGTAACAGAAACAGAAATACTTTAGAGCAACAGGTTTTGTTAAATGAATTAGAATAAAATAACAAGTAGTATTTTTTAATCCTCGTGAGTGAATAAAATATCGGAATAGATATATGGTTTAAAGCAACAGTTGCCTTTTGAGAGAGTATGTGAAAGAAAAAAATCATTTCTGTATTTAGTTCCATGATTCAATTATCAAGAAGGTGAAACGCCTCTTACTACGGACTAATGATGAAATGCTAAAAGAACACATTCGGCAGTTCTTACTCCTCGTGGGAGATGTTAGCACCCCACGTGGGGCTGGTATTCGTGTACTGTCACTTGATGGTGGAGGTACGAGAGGTGTATTAGGCCTTGATATTTTACAAGCGCTAGAAAATAATTTGAAAGGATCAAAGGTAATTTTGATTTTTTCTGAGTGGAGGCGTAATTTTATTTGTACCGTTACCGATTAAAAATATCTCTTCAGGTTGTAGAGGTGTTCGACCTAATCGTGGGCGTAAGTACTGGAGCTATTATTGGTGCATTGCTTGCTGCTAAGAGGTTACCAGTTGGGAAATGTAAGGAAGTTTATATTGAGATCTCAAGGGAACTTTTTAGCCAAGGCAAATTTTCGGGGATGAGTGGCCTTCTTCTTTCACATGCTTACTATAACACTGAAAAATGGAAGCAGATCTTGAAAAACGTAAGTAAACACATTGTAAACATGTCTTTCAATATTTTTACAAATATCATTGCTTAGAAATTTTGTTGACTTGCCTGTCAAAGCTTTGTTTGTCTTTCAGTGTGCAAAGGAATTTGCTAGAGTACATATAATAACCACAGATATATTCGAATGCATCACTTTGTTAAAGGTTATTGGCGAAGACACATTACTGGAAATATGTGGACGTTGGGGAACTCCCATGCTCAGTATAGTAGCTTGTACTGTGAATACACCAACTCTGCAACCATACATTTTTCGTACCTATGGACATCCTAACGAAAGTGAAAGCCACTACCGTGGAGGATGTAATCACAAAGCTTGGGAGGCTTTACAAGCTTCTGCTGCTGCTCCGGGCTATTTTCAAGAAGTGAGCATATCATATGCTCCATTTGGTCATGTATTACATAGAGAGAAGCTTATGACATTTTGTTAAACTGATGCTATAGTATATAAATAAGCATCATGAGCTTGCTTAATTTATATTTCTTTGAATATTTGCTTTCATTCGCAGAATCTTGTTACATGTGGCATATTTCCTACAAATATTACTAAATATATGCCCAAATTAAATAGGAACTTAATCAGAAATTTGCTCAATAAATGTTACTATAGAAACGTACCAGCAACTTCCCTGAAATCTTACATAGGATTTCAGACAAGTTTTTACAGGTTTCACTTGGACCACTACTTTATCAAGACGGTGGTGTACTCACTAATAATCCTACAGCTTTAGCAGTTCATGAGGCACGCATGCTTTGGCCACATGAACGAATACAATGCGTTGTTTCTGTCGGTAATGGAAAGAACGTTTCAGAAGTCGAATTAAATGGCATAAAGTTCGCTGTAGACTTATATTTAATTTATTAAGATAACAGGGTGTACCTTATTTGTACAAAAAATGTTACTTGCATTACAGTAGTGATGTAGTACTTACGATCTCACCGTCTAGCTTTTGCTATGATGTGTGCTAGAACAGAGTTCATTGAAACGCTCGCTCTAATGATTTTTGTTTGAGGTTGTCTACACGTCTTCAAGAAAAAATCTTACGAATTATTGATTCAGCTACGGATACTGAACTTGTCGACTTATGTATGCGTGACACTTTGTCAGAAGGATCATACATACGTTTTAATCCGTACACCAGCTACCCGTATTCTCTCGATGAAATCGATCCGAAAAAGTTCGTCATTAATGTACCACAAGTGTTAAGAGAAGCCTCATTTTCGATAAAAGAAATGTATTCGATTATGCTTGTCACCTCACCACACCATTCCTTACATGAGAGGAGATTGCTGTAAATATATAAGTATATAGGTAAATATATATTATTCAGATTGGAACAAATGAGTGAAGATGCACAACTCTATATTTCACGAAATCAGACCAAATTTGAGGCTGCAGCAAAGGTCATCTTGGCTAAACCATCACTGAAACAGCGCATTGTTCGAAACTGGAACAGGTTGATAATCCAGTGCTAAGTAAATAATAAGTAAAAATTTTTATAGCAATGCTGAAGTGCGGTTTGTAAAATTGAAAGAATTTGTGAAGACCCATCTGTGATTAGCTCTGATTCATTAGTTTATTTGCAACCGTTAAGTGTATCAATCTAATAGCAATACTTAAATGCGAAGTGTTGTCAAGTTATCGCGTAAACATATAATCCATTTTTCAAAGCTTCTGAGAAATTCGTTGGGCGGGAATCCCTTCACAGGAGGCAAATCACAAAAAATCCCATTCGTCGCTAACAGTTCGTACGAGAAAAATGCCACCAATAAAAACCACCAGACTCTTACACATATTCCTGCAAGAATTTTGAAGCGATATTTTCAGCTAAAATAAGATAATATCTAGCCAATGTGAAGAGTGTTCCAAACTAATTGAAATCAAGACCAAACTAGATCAAGGTTATGGAGACATACGGTAATTTACATAGAGACCTAGCCGTGTACGTACTGCACGCTCCCGACATCCTTCGTCGGCAATTCGAAAAAGTGTTAAAAACCAAACGTAATTACCAGTAGAATGGATTGTGATAAATCCACGAAAGAGATCCTCCATGTGGAGATGGCGCTGCTTGTATGCGGATCATTATATATGTTCTGAAAGAGGCAAAACTAGAATAGTCCCTCATAACATCAAAACCAACAAATGCAAAATTACATCAACTGACATAATACCCCAAATAAGTACAGCGCTTCTCCAACAAAGTTTTTTAAGCAACTGTGGAAAAATACCAAGTATTTCATTGAAACACACTATCAAGACAAGATTTTGATTCATTGGCACATACAAAATAAAGATAAAACAAAATTGCAAAAAGAACCTAGTACTACATGCCTCCAAGTTGCATAACATACATAAGTAAATACGTGAGAGAAATCACAATGGAAAAGACTCATTATAGTCGGAATGAAGTGGCCAAAATGTAGAGGGAGGCGACTGAAGTGAGAGAGAAATGACAAATGATGGCTAGAAATTAGAAGGGAAATAAAATGATTCCAAATAATGTTTAGTGAAACAGAACAACATACAGATTTATCGTGAAGTGAAATGAGAGGAAAGGTACAAAATCAAGATGAAAGCTATAATGTCATTTCAACGCATCAAGCCGATGGATGCATCAGATGGCAAGAATTGAGGGATAGCTTTCAAAAAAGCAAATACCCATTTGTGGATTATAAATCAGCAAATACAACTGTCTAAACTATAAACAAACGAAGTTGATATAAAATGCAGATATAGAACATGAAGGTAATAGTAATCCACGTTAAATTTCAGATTTGCATTTCACCACTCTTTAAATAATGTATCAGGCCAAAAGCACTAACACAATCCTACCGTGCAATCATGACTAAATATCTGAGCTAACTCAAAACCTTGCATGTAAGCAGAAATCATGCCTTAAGGGCATATCACAATGTGTCAAAATCACATAATATGCTTAAAGAAGTAAGCTCTGACGTCGACTTGAGCGATTATTGCGGCTTGTACGATCTGACAATACTGAATCTTTGACCAGTCGAACTCCAGGAACTGACATAACAGATTCACAGTCAGAAAGCTCAAAAACTGCCCTCGGTAAACACTGTAAAAATGAATGCTGTAACGCATCTGCTGCTGATAACCGTTTCCGACCTTCATACTGAAATATCAAAATTTTAAACCAGACAAAGAATTCTATAAAAATCTTTCACGGCAAAATATTGGTAGCTCTTATTAAAAAAAAAAAAAACAGACTTTTTACATCATGCTATCGACTTGACGATGCACTTTGTACCTGAAGTAAACGGTGCAAGAGATCATTTGCATGCTGATCAATTCTCGGACATGCATTCTGCAGGACATTGGGGCGATAATGAGGGAATCTACACAAGCGAAATGTAGTTGAGTTACACATCTGTGGGTAACTGGTTGACGACGGAGTGCCAAGCATGTGGAATATTAAGAGAAGTTGCTCTTCAACGGCCGAACCAGGAAACAACGCGTGTCCTATAACTTACTCCATATTTCTGATACAGAAACTCAGAAAAGATTTTACATCAAACAAATTATTACGTTTTATCATATGGTAAATCACAGTATAAGTAAAATTTATAAAACATATTAAAAAATTACAAACCAGAAATCATTTCAAAAAGAATGCATCCAACGCCCCACATATCGATGTGAGTTGAGTAGTCTGTAGAACCCAACAAAACGTCTGGTGGACGATACCACAATGTTACGACCTAAAATAGTCTTTCACGCGATTCAAATTTCCACGCAGCATCAAATTGAGCGACATTCGAAAGTTAAATAGAGCACCATGAAGGGATAACTGTTACTTAACTAAGTTCGCGTAATAAGATATGGCATATTGAAGATAAAACGTTCTAAGCAGAAGAAAAATATCCAGAATAGCCGCTCCCACCATGCAGTGATACCAGATATCAAAAACGGTTGTTGAAAATGAAAGTTTCTTTGTGGTATTAAACATTTTTCTGCGCATCTTCAACATTTAGAAAAAACGTACCTCATTTGAATATGTCTTTGTAGGTACAGACTTCGTTCGTGCCAAACCAAAGTCAGCAAGTTTGAGTTCACCTTTTTCATTAATAAGTAAATTTTGTGGTTTTAAATCACGATGCAAAACACGTCGCTGATGGCAATAATTTAGCCCTCTCAATAACTGCACCAGGAACAACTGGAAATTGAAATAAACAAGAAACATTATACCGTTTCAACACTTAAATTGTATTGTTTACATTGAACTGCTCAACTAACATACTTCTTTACAATACAGATTTCTACAGCAAAACAAGGATATACCCGAACATTCTTCATCGATATAACATCTTGACAGTCATCAAGATACTGTTTTAAATCACGATCAACGTATTCGAAGACAAGAGTGAGTATTCTTTCCGTGTGAATTATGTCATGCAATGTGACGATATTCGCATGGCGTAAATCTCTCAATATAGAAACTTCCCTAATCGCTGTACAAGGTGCTCCTTCTTCCAACTCTAAGCGTATTTCCTAGAAGATGGCTCATCACAACTAAGATATCTTCTGTTAATAAATGAAGGATTTAAAGACTTTAATTCTAATTTTGCTCAAAAAACGGAAATTAAACTATTCAAAGTCAACTGCAAAAGACGTTACTTTGAGCGCGACGAATTTTTCTGTCAGTCGAGATCGCCCTTTATAAACCGTGGCATACGTTCCTTCTCCCAGCTTCTCAAGTTTCTCATATGTTTCAAGTTTGCCGAAACCAATTTCGCTCTAAAGCAATATAAAAAGAATGAAATCAGAGTCGGAGAATCGAGAAAAAAATCACAACAAAAAATCAATTTTTGTTTGAAACGAAAAAAAAAAAAAAAACTGTAAGAAAGATACTAGCGATGCACGACGATTTTTCCTCGTTAAGGGTTGATCTAATGTTGGTGTACGGTTCAGTTTTTCGATCACACTTAACGGAAGCCTTAGGTCAGCAGGAAGTGATAAACGCTTCTGAATGTCTTCCTGTAATAAAACTATGAACTGAAAAGGGTTGCCAAGGACATCTTTAACACCGACTTCAGTAAATGCAGAAAAACCACCGGACAAATAAACGATATGAACACACTCCTCTCATTTTTGCAGCTATTTTGAAACAAAGAAAAAAAGATTACAGTTACTCTCAATCATGATGATCTGCAGCGACTTGCAATAGCATGTCTCCATAGATGTAGAATGTATCGTTTTTATAACACGATAAAGTATCCATCGTGTGATTGTGAAAATGAATCGAATTTATGTGCTTCTTAACAAATATAAAAGTTTGGGGAAAAAAGGACAGTTCTCCACCCTCACCCATTATTAGTTCATTTTCTTCCAGTTGGAAAGAAAAGGATATATGGCATTAGTGCTGCCTTCATCTTTAGGAACACTTTTCCAAATTCCATTCACTAATTTTGATTTTACTATTTCCTTATTCTCCATTTTGTCCGTCCGTATTTGATACACCACTACTTATCGCTTTTCTCCTATTTTTTGTGTTTACCCCTTATCCACCACTTGTTATAATAGAAGTTGCCCTAATAGCGCTGCTAGCCTACAAGACGTTCTGCAAATCATTTATGTTATTGTACTGATATTCGCAAATCAACAGTTAGCTTCTCGTGTTACACACATTGATATGGCAGTAATTTCATCTTCAAATCCAAATACCTCGTTCCAGCGGCGCGCTGGTTTCTGGCGCATTTTGACGCTGATAACATGACGATCAGATTGACTTGCGCATTGATCGCTACTACAAGGCGAAACCTCAATACTTTCACCATCAGATCCAAGCGCTTTCGTTTCATCAACAGCTGTAAAAACACGCAATTTGTGGGTGCAAAGAGTGGAAAAACTCAATATAAAGAAAATTATAATTAAAAAAACAAAGCATATATTATGTATGCGACATCCACATTTAACTTCAAAACAGTGAACATGTGGAAGTCAACATTTAAGTCAATTCTGATTTTAAGATTTATAACTATCTGAATAACAAATCTTTTCATACCTGACCCAGTACAACTTTGACATGAGCATACTTATATCCTTATGGAAAAGTTACTGATAAATGTTATTTCACTTGAAACAATTTAATCAAACCGTTTCAATAGATGGACAGTACTTCAAAAAATAAACTGTCTTCCTCTAGTAGTATACTCATAGGAAGGTGTAATAACTAGATGAATATGAAAAACACTCACACAGCGAAATGGATAGCCTTAAAACAATTTGCCATCCTTGGCGGAATTTCGTTTAAGTGACAAAAAGAACTGAATCCATGATGCACAAATATTTGAAGTTGTATTTGCTATGGGAGTGGTGGAAGTACATCAGTCTCATCACAAAAATTGCGCAGTGTGGTAGATCTGGACAATTCAGACACCATACAAATAAATCAGAAAGTTGAGAGTAAATGCAAATGAGATTGCAGACAGGATCAAGTAATGTTTACAAACACAACATACGCAACGCGGAGTGTGACAAAGAAAAGCTAATCAAGCATTCTCTGTCTTCCTCAGACATCTCGAGTGACTTTACAATATTTCTTAGCATGCCATATTGGACGACAGTGTGAGCGTTGCCACATTTCGAAGTTTACAACTCTCTCTAAACCAATCAGTTCGTTCAAGCTTGCTCCAGTAAAAGCTTCAAATGCATCTACCTAAACACACTTTCACTAGCGTTACTCTTATTTATCCAAAATCCTGCATAGATATACTTGCCTGCTAAGCGAATGAAACTAGGAAATACAAGTGAATTTCACGAATTCCAAGATTTCTCCACTTCACCACTAAGTCCTATCCGCCGGTATTTCCAATTATAGTGGAGCTCCCATGCATCTTGTTATAACTAACATATTTCACTAAGAGAGGATTTCATTTTTCAAAAGCTATGGTCATGTTATCGACTACCGTCATGATAGTAAAATTAAACAAAAAAAAAAAAAGAGTCACTGTACATTAAATTGTTAGGAAAATTGCTGTTATAAAAATGCTCCTATGTTATACAGATATTAAGTCTCGAGAAAATGATTTGGACTGCATTGTTGCACACTATTCATTGCAAATTTATGCTATTAACTATGAAGAACGAGGTAAATAAAATATTGAACTTCATTATCAGGGATACTATTCCTTATATTTAAAAAACTAAAACCTTTTAAGAGCAAGTCATCCACAAATATTTAATAACCTTATTATTTATTGAAAAAGAAATTCACTAAAAAAGGCAGAGGACAAATTTTCTACTCCAGGAAT